TGCAAACATTTTTGTAATGTGTTGTCAAAGAGAGGTTATATGCCTTAAAATTATAAATGTCAAATATATGACATTTTATAACCTCCAATATAGAATGGAGGGTATATTAGATTATCATTTTGTATTTAACACCTTTTACACATTTTGGACCCCATAAAATTGCAATATTCTTGATTAACATAAAATTCTATGTCGATTTATGGAAGTTCGTAAGTTCAGGAATTTTCTCTAGCTTCCGAATGAAATTAGGTTGGTTGATATATTTTTACTTAGGTCTATTTTTGGGTATTTGAAATGGGCCGTTTTTGTATAGCATTCATATAACTATACAAACAGATTTAAAGCCTTTTGTTTTTTCAGTGACAATTTTAACCCAAATTTGCTGTACGTTGGCAGTTTGTGTAGGAATCATCCTTGAGAACTGTTCATATAGGTCCAAGTTTTGGTATTGTCTACATACAATTGAACCATCAGAATTTAGGTATTTTGATTTAACCATTTCAAATTTAGAATTTGGAGTTCGCAGTGGCTACCACTTCCTATCATAGAAAATACACATCTTCAAAGAGGCCCCTCCCTTTATTCGGTATATTGATGCTTTTAGCTTCATTTTGTCAGTTCCTTACAAATGTTGTATATAAAATCGAAAATCTGAAAAAAAAAAAACTTTTTTGACTATTTTAGTCTATGGTAGTTCGGAGAGCTAAATTTCAAGGCATTCAAACGTTGAGGCTAAAACAAAATTTTATTTTCTTTTCTATGTTAGAGTTTTGGGAACACCAATTTTCGTTTGAAAACCTATTCTCAACAAATCCGCCTTCAAAATCTCAAGAGTCTCATGTTTATTGATTTGATAATCCATTAAAACTACTCTTTACACCGTTTAGGCGTATAAAAAAGCCTTCTTAAGAAACCCACATTCATATGGCCATTGGAACTAGAAAACGCATTCCAAAAAACAACTACCATTAGATGTTAATGGAAATAAATAAAGAAAAAACTAATTATTGGTCCTTGTACAGTACTTTTTGTTTTAATTCACATTAAGTGGTCTAATTTAAAAAAGCCGATTGATGATCTAGCGGTAGCTAAAAAATAATAATAAAAAATAATTAACCCCCAAGTTACATACAAAAGGGATCTATTTGGCCCATTTTTCAGAATATGATGTAAAAATACCTTTAAACGGGATCATGGCACACTAAAATAGACTATAATATCAATATACCCTACAACACTATGTGTTGGGGCTAAGTTTGATTGGGCCAAAAATTATGTAACCCCTCGAAATATTGGTTTCCTACATATTAAAGTATAAATGGATCTTACTATCTCGCCGAGCTGAGTCGATCTAGCTATGTATGTCCGTCCGTCCGTTTGTCCGTCTGTCCATGTTAATTTGTAATCACTCTACAGGTCGCAATTATGGCCCGATCTTCACGAAATTTAGAATGGAGGTGGGGCTAGAGCCAGAATATAACCCTATTGCTTTTGGAGATGGATCAAAAACTGAAAAATTTCCTGATTTTGCAGTTACTACTGGACGCAATTATAGACCAATCGACGCGGAAGTTAGCATGGGGCTAGAGCTTAGGGCTGAACAGAAGCCTTCCAATTTTGATGGTCCACCATAACATTTGTTTTAAACAAAAGTTAAATTTTCTATTAAATCTCGAATATTTTTAATCCCGGCAAAATCACAAATAGACGAACAGGTCAATTCTGGCCGTTACGTAGATGCAGATAGTAAATATATCGGATATATATAGCGAAATATATACAAAGGAAGGTGATGTTAGCTAGAATGCTTATATCTCAAGAATGGCTGGACTGATTTCGACAAATTTTGTCAATTCAGAATGCCCTCTTGGCAAAAAAGAATAAAATCTAAAAAAGATGCCAATAATGATGTTAACACAGATTGTTTTAGTATTTTGTGACATTTTTTTCATATTTTTTATTGCATGCGATTTTTTTAATTTGACTTCTAATACTTAAGTGAATATTTGTAATATTTTTTCACCTTACAACATAGGTTGGGGATATTATATACAAATTGCAATTATAGTCCGATCGTCACGAACAAGGTTAGGCTTAGGCTCAGAAGGGCTAGGTCTATTGTGTCCGTATATATTTATTATTATTGTATATGTCCGCAATATATTTAGGGGTTAAAATGGACCAAACAAAAGGACACGAAATCTCGTACGAAGTTACAGTTAATGACAGCGGCTAGAATGGACCACTACTTTGTGTGAAAAAGTACCAACATTACTTACAGATGATATCCGAAATACTTTTATACCCTCCACCATACTATGGAGGGTATATTAATTTTGTCATTCCGCTTGTAACTCCTCGAAATACTCATGTCAGACCAAACAAGAATATATACTTGATCAGCGTAAAATTCTAAGACGATTTAGCCACGTCCGTCTGTCTGTCTGTGGGTCTGTCTGTCTGTCTGTTGTAATCACGCTATCTTTCGAACGTATTGAGATATAAAGCTAATATTTTGCACACATGTTTATTTTTCCAGTAGGCAGGTTAAGTTCGTAAATGGGTCATGTAGGTCCACGTCTTCATATAGCCCCCATATAACGGTACCTCCCAATATTCGGTATTTTGATGATTTTAGCGAAATGTTTTCACCGGAATCGTTTCAAATTAGGTATTTGAAGATCGAAAATTGTCTGTGCAGGTCCACGCCTTCGTATAGCCCCCATATAACGGTACTTCCCGATATTCGGCATTTTGATGACTGTAGCTACATTATTCACCGATTTTTTTCTAAGTTTCGCATTTGAATATTGTAATGGCGTATGAAAAAATTACCTATGCAGGTCCATGTCGTCGTATTGACCCTAATGTAACGGCTACATTCGGTATTTCTAAGACTTTAACGGATTTTATTGTTTTTGAGAATTACCAAATTCGTTCCAAATGGGAAAGGTATTCAATGTTCGGCCCGGCCGAACTTACAACTTTTTTACTTGTTTATGCTGATTTCGTTGACGAATATAGCCAAATATCGTAGAAAAGCAAATCATATATATGAATCTAAATTTGGAGATGCAGAGGGCCCTCTTGCTTTTGGAGATGATGAAATATTTAGGGGTTCAAATGAACAAAAACAGAAAAAATATCCTGATCACGCAATTGAAGCCAATCAACACGCCTGAGAAGAGAGTTAAGGGCAGGGAAGAATTCTATCATTTTGGATGACCATTGGATTATATTTAGCTGTAAAATGGACCGCAACAACTAATAGCACGACGAAGTGCGTAAATATTGGGCAAATGTCCCAGGTCAAAATGCTAAGGGTAATATCTGGGCAGTGCTCCGTGACATAATTTCAAAAGCGAAATCACATGTCCCGCTCGACTTTAGCCTTTGCTTTATTGTTTTTCATAAAATTCTACGGTAGGTCCCCTAAACCGTACCTCAATCCCAGGAATTCGTAGATATTAAAAACACATTTCAATGTTAAAGCCGCAAAATACTCCTACAAAACATAATTTTAGATAAATGCCGTCAGAGGCAACAATCTTTTTCATTATAATTCACTATAAGTCACTTAAGAAAAAAAAAAAAACCATTTTCACCTTTCATATTTTTTCCAAATTTGCCAAAAAGAAATAATTAAAATATTTTCTAATTTTTAGTGTAAATTTTTTCTGGGTGTTTTTTTGAATTGATGCATAAAATTCACATAAAATTTCGTTCTAGGGCAAAGTATCAAAAAAAAAATATTCTACACAATATTTTACTATAAATGAATAAACCATATATCTAGGTTGAATAGATTTTATGAAAATTACATTCGAATTTTAAATATTCAAATTGAAAATTAATTTTGTAGTTAATTTTGCACGTTTCCACTCTATGTCAAAATCGCACTATAAATTAATTTTTTTGTGGAAAGTCAAAATTCATTTTGAGACTCCGAACAAAAGACATTTGTACACTTAACATATCCCATACAAAAATATGATAAACTTTGGTCCATATAAAAAACATCTTATATTTTCGAAAATATAAATTTAGCACTTTTTCCCAATTCGTTGTAAATTTTCTTATAATTTCACTGTCTAATAGCCAGTCTGGTTTGTAGAAAATTCCAAATGGACTTGATAATACTAGTTTGTAGGTCAAACCCCATAGGAGATTCTGGCTCCTAGGTAGGTACTACACTATGTAATTAAAATCCACGGATTCTAAAGAATATTTGCAAAAAATTGGATTAGGGGGAACTTGCCCCTTTCTATTTAAGTTACTTTCACTTACTCTACTTTCATAATTTCATTAAATTTTCTCCACCATATTATGTTTTTTCTAAATATTCAAAAATCCAATATCAAAATTTCCTATCAAAAAATCACAACAAGAAATCACTTCGCCTTCCCCTTCCATACTTACTCTTGCACATTTTCTACTAGCAATTCCGTTTTGAAACCATAGACCTTCAAAATGCCTGAAAAGTTGGTGATTTCTTCGGGATTTACCATAATATGGATTTCTTTGGTGGCCTCATCGTACTCCTTCCAGATGATGTACTGCAAAGTGGACACAAGCAAAGAAAACGTTCAAAATTCCACCTTCTCCCAATGATATATTGCCATCGATTGTACCTTTTCACGTAGATCCTGAATCAGCTCAATGACCGCCAATTGAGTTTTATTATCAATGCTCAACTTGTAAACTTTGTAATTGTCATAACGAACTTTTCCGGACAAATTTGTCTTTAGCGAAGCGCCCGAAATTACCACAACCAAAGTGGCCAGTACAAAAATTAAACTCAATTTAGCCATAATTGCCGAGAAATGACTAAATATTCACTGGCTAAGACCAAACAATTTATACTTTAAAAATGTTATCGATAACATGAAATCTTTCATCTAATCTTTGCGGTCATAAAACCACCGATTACTTTGCTAGTTAGAGATAGCCAATTTGTAAATAAATCTATATGTATAATCTTGTTTGTTTTTTTAGTTCTTTATTAATCAATTAAAAAAAAAAACAATAACAAAATGTGATTACTAATATTTTGGTGTTATATAACCCAAATTTTGGGCTTCTTTGATCAGGGCCATAATACCGGCCATTGTTTCCTTGCAATTTGGCAGGATATGTGTGGGTGGCAAAACAAAACCATGACGTCCTGTATCACGCATTTCAATTGTATAGGTTATCTTAATATCAGCTTCATTGTAGGCGAAATCGATGGTTGCTCCAGGGGCATAATCTGCAAAAAATACGTACAAACCCATACACATACATATAAAGAGTTAATGGTTTTTGATTTATGACGCATATAAAACTGCAGTTAAATATAAAATTTTGGAATTGGAATTTAAGATTTCATTAGGTTTAATTTGGGGTTATAGCTATTTTGGTTACTCGGTGCAACAAAATTAAATTTTTATTAACTATTGTAAATAAAAATCCCGTAGATTAGGAAAGCAGGGATAAAAGGAGAAGATACTTGGCAAAGTAAAATAAATAGAAGGGTCAAGTTCCCCATTATTCAAAATTTCTAGAATTTTTGGGATTAAGATTTCTTGAAATATTTAATTTCGCCAATATCACTGATAAGAATACGACAATTATTTAATACCTCAAGCGAGTCAGCAAAGATGCGTGTCTGGCAATACTTAACAAAATGTTTGAAAACTCTCATTAAGAAGGAGCGTAGCAAGTCAAAATATTCTACAAAATTATTTGATATCAAACACTTCTATAGAATCCAGAATATTCAAAAGTCTAAAGCTACTAGGCAAGGAAAAAACATTTTATGGTTAAAACGGCACCTCATGTGAGTTTATGCCAATTGGAATATTTCTCTTGCTACTTTTTTTTGCTAATGGTTTTTCCATGTAATAGAAAAGTATGATCTAAACTTAAACAAGTAACAATTTAAAAAGCGGTAATTTTGGCCGTTCCGAAATTTGAATACCCTCCACCATTTGGAACGGATCTGGAAATTTTCAAAAAAATAACATTCGCCAAAAATTATATTAAAATATATAGACATTCCTCTTCTAGGGAGTAAAGAGCTTGGAAAGAACTTCTAATATGGATTTTTAGCTAAAATCATCAAAATACCGAATATAGGGGGTACCGTTATATTGGGGATATACGATATCATGGACCAATAAATACAATAATCTTCCAGGGTGCGAAATACTCAAAAGGAAATACTTTTGTGGATTTTCAAACAATCTCATTTAAAATTTTGGGTACAATCCTCAAATTACAGAATATCGGGGGCTATACGATATCGTGAACCTGTATAAACAATTCTCTTCCATGGGGTTAAGTGCTCTTAAGCAACTCCTTGTGTGTATTTTCAGAAAATTTCATTGAAAAATATGGCTAAAAACAAAAACAAAACAGTAAAGAAACTCTTAAAGTCGGTCGGGGCCGACTTTATGATACCCTACACCACTTTGCTAATTTAATAGAGCACCGCATAACAAAAGTTCATACACGCTATGATTATAATTTAAAGTTCAAATGCCGAAACATTTGTATCTTTTAAATTCGGACCTATATTACCCATTTGGTGCATATTTAACTTGAAATCGGATAAAGATATATATGGGAGCTATATCCAAATCGGAACCGATTTCGATAAAATTTGGCAAAGATATTTCTGAGCTGCATTTGATATATGTCCTTGAAAATCGTCGTTACGGAGTGCATATTACAGCTGTGGGTAACAAATCGGATGAAGTGTATATATGGGAGCTATAGCTATATCTGAACCGATTTCGATAAAATTTGGCATACTTATTTTCAGGCCTAATCTGGTTGTATGTGCACATTTGGTGCACAATTAAATGCAAATCGGACGTAGATTAATATGGGAGCTATTTCTAAATTTTGACCGATTATCTCCAATTTCAATAGGGTTCGTCTTTTGGTCAATTTACTTGTGCAAAATTTCATGTGGATCGAAATAAATGCGACCTGTACTTTGTTTACAAAAGTACATGGACAGACGGACGGGCATGCATAAATCGACTCAGAATGTGATTCTATGCAGATCATCAAAAGGAACTATGGGTCTATCTCGTTTCCTTTTGCCTGTTACAAACAAATGCACAAAGACATAATACCCTGACCACCTTGTGGTCTAGGGTATAAAAATATGGAATATCGGGCTGTACCGTTGTATGGGGGCTATACGATATCATGGATCTAAATAAACAATTCACTTTCAGAGAGTAAAGTACTCAGAAGAAAAAACTCCTTGGGTTGGTTTTTAGACAAATATATTAGAAAATGTGGCTAAAATTATAAAGAAATCGAAAATTATCAAGATACGTATGTATATCGTGGACCTATATAGCCTATCTTTATTAGTTTTGACATTTTCCAGAAAAAAAAGTTATTTGTGATGGAATTCAAGCGTGATAGTTTGATTTCTTTATATGTGGCTGGAAAACCACAGGTGGCTATCGTTAGAGCAATCCAGCATTTAAATGTGAATAAATCTTCTGTGTCCCGTACCATCGCTCGTTTCCGTGACACTGGTAGCGTAGCCCGACGTCAAGGAAGTGGACGGATGAAAAAAGCAACATCAGCAGAAATGGTTCAAAAAGGTAAAGAAGCGACTTGATCGAATCCCGCGTCGCAGTGGCTGAACATATCGCAATATTCCATTTGGCAAATATTGAAAAATGAGCTCGGGGTAAAGCCATTGAAATTCCAAAAAGTGCAAGAACTTACACGGCAAAAGAAAGAAAAGAGAATCAAAAGAGCTAGAGTTGCTTCGCCTGGTCGAAAGTGGTGAACTGGCGAATTTGGTTTTCTCCGATGAGAAAACATTCGTTGTCCAGTAGTTTGTAATCAAACAAATTGATCTTGTTTACTTGCCAAAGAGGTCAGCTGAAAATGTCCACCTTCGGTTGGCCACCAGAACTCAAGCGCCGGCCATGGTGATGGTTTGGGCCGCCATAACAGCCGATAGCCGCTCTACGCTCGTATTAATCGACCGTGGCATCAGAATAAATGTCGAATATTATCGCGAAAATATTCTGGAGGGTGTATTAAAGCCTTGGGCACACAAACATTTTGACCGCAGACCTTGGGCATGCCAACAGGACTCAGCACAATTGCTCTCAGCACGCCCCACCTAAGAATGATCACAAAATGGGGTTCCTAGCTTCATTTCCAGCGCACAATGGCCACCAAAATCTCCGGATACCAATCCGTTGATCTATTATGTCTGGAGTATTTTGGAAAGCAAGGTTGGCAATAAAAAATACCAAAGTGTCGATCACCTCAAGCAAGCGCTTCGCCGGGAATGGGGCAAACTACCGCAGAGCAACATTCGGGCAGCGTGTGACGGTTTCATTGGCCGTTTGAAGGCCATAATTCGTGCCAAAAGTGACCAATTCGAACAAATCTAAACTTATTCTAAAATTTGATGCTATTTCCGACATTTTTTGCTTTCATTCAATAAAAGTTAAAAAATAAGGCGTTTGACTTTGTTGCAGTTTTTTATTTTGCCCTGTATATCGTTTGATACGGCCAAAACGTGTCTCATCGAAATAACGGTTTTAGACCCCTAGGTCTCTTTGGTTCAAATCCTTTCACGACATTTGGAGTGGATCTACGCACGATAATACGATTTGGTCCATACTTGGTAAATCGTAATATTATTATCAAAATTAGATCGAGTTCGGAGATGGGTAATATCGGTCCACTCCTTCCAAAGGGGCAACATCTTCATAGACAATAATTTACCTCATAGTACAACAAAGGCTCATCGAATTTTGTGTATCTTCGCAATTCCCAATATTTGCATAAGTGCTATGTCAGTTGTGAAACGAGAACCCGATTGTCTTCGCATTTCGAACATCCCAATATTTCTATTAACACAAAATTTGGTGCGAAGATGACATATATTGGTCCACTCCTTCTTGTACCTCCCCCACAAAGGTCAAAATTTGGAATAATCACGAAACTCAAAAAACTTGATGATATTTATCGACCCGTCCCTTTTTTCACACATCCCAATATTTCTACTAAAATAAAATCTAATGTGAAGATGGAATATGTAGAACCACTCCTTCTGGTACCTCCCTCACAAAGGGTAATTTTTTTTTTTTTTTTTTTTGAATAATCGTGATTTTTGTAAAATGTGAAATAAGTATCGGATTGTCTTCAAGTTACACGCATCTCAATATTTTTGTGAACACAAGATCTACTTTTTCTTTTAAAACACGGTCCTGAGTGAAGATGGAATATTTCTATCAACCTTAGATCCAATGAAATTTCTTATATGTCATATCCACTCTTTCTGCTTCCTCTCCCGTAAAAGCAAAAGCTGCGGATATACATCTGTTGGTAAAACTGACGAATACTTCTTAACTTGTTGAAATTGCGTTTCGTATCGTAGAAACTTTCTTTGAATCGGTCAATTTGAATTGTTTTCAAAATTTTTTCCATAGATTCAAGCCGATATTTTGAAGTGTCAGAGAGTATTTATCATCTGCCTTAAAAAGTTTCAATTTTTAACCAAATTTGGAATATCCCAGAAAAATTTTAAATGATTGCACTATATAATTAAGTATCTACATGTCGTAACGGAAGAAGCCCACCTTCCAAACCGGATTTCACATATAGCCCATGTCATGTATCCTTCTAAAAGTATTTTTAAGACACCTTTACCCATAGTTGACATTTCCCTACCCCCAAACAATGACACCGAAATATTGTAACATACAAACACCTTAATGTTTTCTACTTACACATTGCACCGGCCGAAGTACCATAGGTGTATTCACTTCCATACGACAGCTTGCCCACAGCCTGGGCATAGGCATCAGCCACCTTCAAGAGGTCATCGTTGTTTGGTGGAACTTCCTCTGTATGGCCATATGGAGACAACAACATCTGTGAATAGCTGTGGAATGCCAAAAGCACATTGAATTTGTCTTTATTTGAGCGTAAAAATTCCGATTCTCCTTTAATTTCTGGTTCAGAATTAGGAGCCGGTCCGGCATAGTCATTTGCACATGGATCCGATGAGGCACCGTTGACCATCCAATACGAGTCGAAATTGCGATTACCATCGGTGCCAATACAGGGTGAATGTGCAACGGGTTGACGTGTTTTACGCCACAAACGATCCTAAATTTGAAGCACTTAACATTTGGACCATTAAAAAATTTCCAAATATATATCAAACCTTATTGTGGGTATACACAAATCCATCAACATTCAACACCGGTACAATATACCAATCATAATTTTCCGCCAAGTTGCGTATGTCGGGATCCGATGAGGTAAGAAGTTCATTGATAAACCAAGTAGCCGTAGCCGATGTAATCCATTCACGTGCATGAATATTTGATTCAATGTAGATTCCAGGATTTCCCGTTTTGTAGGAAATTTTAATACCCCTCACAGGACGTCCTTCATAGGACTGGGCAATTGTGAATGGTTCCGTAACAGTTAGATATTTGGCAAGAATTTTATCGAGAAATTTGTAAATATCCTCAAGTTCATAGTAGCGCGTCCAATTGAATTCATCAGAATCATCGCCATTGTAGGCTTGCTCTTCATCAATCAAACTGTAAAAGAGAGGAAAGAGGTATTTGAAAATAGTTTCACCCCACCGAAATAAATGCAGTTGTTAGTTCTTTTTTTTCAAATGTTCTCCAACGAACAGTATTCATAAAATATATTTATCCCCTTTTTTTATTCTTTGAGCATTTTGTCAAATATGTCGAAAATCGCTTCAGATATAGCTCCCATATATATGTTTCATTAGATTTATTATTTAAGCCAATCACATGCGTATTATGCACTCCCCAAGTACCAGATATCAGATACATCCCAGAAATACCTCTGTCAAACTTTATCGAGATCAGATCAGATTTGGATATAGCTCCCATATGAGTAATATGCACTCCACAACAATATTTGATACCAGAAATCAGAAACAGCTCGAAAATACCTATACCAAATTTTTATCGAGATCGGTTCCGATTTTTATGTACCTTCGATATACATCTTTATCCGATTGTACGGTTGTACAACAAATATTTACATACCCTCCACCATAAATAGTATGGAGGGTATATACAAATTCGTCATTCCGCTTGTAACTCATCGAAACAATAATTTTAGACATAACAAAGTATATATATTATTGATCAGCGTAGAATCCTAAGACGACGAAGAGCCCTGTCCCTGTCAAGCTAGAGTCAAAATGATATTCGGTATTTTGACGATTTTAGCCACATTTTTTAAGATAATTGTTTGAAGATCCACGCAAGGAGTTCAATCTGAGTACTTTACCCTCTCGAAGAGTATTGTCTGTATAAGTCCACGATATTCGGTATTTTGATGAATGATTTTTTACGGAATTCTCAGAAAATCCACAAAAGGATTCCCATCTGAGTACTTTACCCACTGGAAGATAATTGTCTATATAGATGCACGATATCGTATATCCCCCATATAAAGATACCTCCCGATGTTAGGTAATTTGATTATTTTAGCCAAATTTTTCAATGGAATTGTTTGAGAATCCGCACAAGGAGTTCCTTCTGAGCACTTTACCCCTGTACGAGAATTGTCTATATAGGTCCTCGATATTGTATAGCCCCCATATAACGGTACCACCCGATATTCGGTATTTTCATGGTTTTAGCCACATTCTTCAATGGAATTATCTGAAAAGTTATTTCTAAGCACTTTACCTCCTGGGAGAGAAATGTCTTTGCAGGTCCAGATCTTTCTATAGGCCCCATACATCAGTGTCTCCTTAGATTCGGTATTTTGACGATTTTAGGTACAATATTTACCGCATTTGTTTGAAAATTCGTATTTTAAGTTCCTAATAAGTACTACAGCCTGTGACAGAAAATTGTTTATGCAGGTGCGGGTCTTCGTATAGCCCCGATATAACGGCACCTCCCTATATTCAGTATTTTGATGGTTTTATCTACATTATTCACAGGATTTTTTTAAGTTTCGTATTTGAATATTGTAATGGCTTATTGTAAAACTTGTCTCAAATGGTGGAGGGTAATCAAAGTTCGGCCCGGCAGAACTTACTGTTTTTTTTACTAGTTTTATATAATTCTTGACGAAGTCATATCATGCGGTATACAGCAATGTTATTTGGTACTAAAGGCACCACAGCCTCGTCGAATTTGTTGAAAATCGATTTAGTTCGAAAATTGTAAAACACTGATACGCATTCAAATAAGGTTCATAGTTGGTATGATCTACTTCACATAAATTCTCTATATAAACTTGTTTGTTAAGGGAGCTCTACTAAATACGCAAAGTGGTGTTGGGTATCATATAGCCGGCCCCGACCGACCTTTAACCTTTTTTTATGGGTTTTTTATTATTTTCCATTATTTATATATGATTTCCTGCTATCCTGGAACTAATATCCTAATATTAGCACCATTATATAATTTTTTTTTTTGCATAATTTTCACAAATTACCTTTGTAAATCCGAAATCATTTCAATAACTTAATACCTCTCACCAATGTGGAATTTCGAAGTACATCTGGTCTGAGGATCAACTAGGATATCCATGTTATGAGAATCCTCCTGCCATATGGAAATCTAAAAAAAAATAAATAAAAACAACCTTCATCACTTGTTACTTTCAATCCCAGACATCTCAATCTCACCCCAGTTTTATTCTTTCTTATGAAATCAGCCAAAAATGTACGTTGTTCATCATTTTCAATGTTCAATCTGAAGACTTTATATCCCTGATAAGATATTTTGTCATTTGTTGGGTATGTATAGGCAACACTTAATGCGGCCAATATAACTGCCACAGTTACTACAAATCGTGTCATGTTGACTTCTCTGAGTTCCAAAATGCACTGAACGGTTTCTTTTTTTGATTAAATCTAGATGTGTACTATGAAAAGTATATCGATGATTGATTGGTATAGGTATATAGTTGATAAGCTACTGCTAATAATAAGAATCGATTATATGAGACTGACTACTCAATAAAAGTTATAAAGATAAATGAATTATGCTAACAATTGGCACACGATGAAATCAATCAATATTTATGGTATAAATGTGAAGGGAAACATTTCTCTAAGTAAATATGTTGGGCATCATGTACGTGTTCGTACATTAGGGTGGGTTAAATTGTATGAGGTACGGAAAATACGTCAATCGATCTTCCTCCTTTGATGAATATTCTTAGTTCAATGAGCAACACTCAATTTCATCCAATTCGATTGAGGAATTCAGTTGAAATATGTAATAAAATTCGTAAAAATTATGTACCTTTAAAACTTATTCACACAGTAATCAGATAATGTATTAATTTGGAAATTCAAAGAATAGAGGCTACTAAGTTCTGCATTTTTACTACTTTTAGAGCTAAAATCATCAAAATCCGTATGTTGCACTTTATTGGTGCTGGTTATTAGATAATGCATTTTTGAACATTTCTACTAAAAATTACATAATAATTTTAACAAGGAGAACAAATATTGCTGACATTGTTGAAAATTCAAAATTATTTGCGTCAATTTGCTCCATTTTTATACCCTGCACCTTGAAAATGAGGGTATATTAACTTTGTCATTCCGTTTGTATCATCCCTAAATTTTCGTCGCAGACCCCATAAAATAAATGAGATGACACAAGTTAAAAAGCAGTAAGTGGAACGAATTTGGATATTTTCATAAAATAAAATCCATTAAAAATTCTGTTAAAATCTTAAAAATACCGAATACAGTCGTTATATTGGGGTTTATACGACGTGGACCTACATCGGCTTTGTTTGTCATAAGCCATTACCATAATCAAATTCGAAACTTGAAATAAACGGCGAATAATATAGCTAAAATCATCAAAATTCCGTAAATAGGGAGGCACCGTTATATCAGAGCTATACGAAGACCTGGACCTGCATAGGCAAATTTCTATCACAGGCTGTAGTTTCCATTACGAACTTTAAATCCGACATCTTAAACAATTTCGGTGAGTATTGTACCTAAAGTCGTCAAAATACCGAATATAGGGAGGTACTGATATACAAGGGCTATACGGAGAACTGGACCTGCACAGACAAGTTTCTGTCTTAGGCTGTAGCATCCATTACAAACTTCCAATACGAAATCTCAAACAATTTCGGTGAGTATTGTACCTAAAATCGTCAAAATACCGAATATAGGGAGGTACTGATATATGGGGCCTATACGAAGACCTGGACCTGCATAAACAATTTTCTGTCACAGGATGTAGCATTCATTACGAACTTCCAATACGACATCTCAAAAAATTTCGGTGAGTATTGTACCTAAAATCGTCAAAATGCCGAATATAGTGAGGTACTGATATATGGGGCCTATACGAAGACCTGGACCTGCATAGACAATTTTCTGTCACAAACTGTAGTTCCCATTATGAACTCTAAATATGTAATTTGAAACTACTCAGGTGAATAATGCAAAATATATGAGATAGTGGAATTTATGAATCGGAGGAATATTAAGATCGCAGCGGTGCAGGAAACCAAGCTGAGTGAAATTGCAGCCTACAACGTTGTTATGGTTACAACGTACTAAGGAAGGATCGCACCAGAAGTGGAGGTGTTCAGTACATGCCTATCTCGCTTGAGCTAGTCTCTAGTGACCCATAGGGTAGCAATCAAGGGTGGAACTGCCGAGGTAGAGGTGCTTAATGTGTATATAACGCCGATTAATAGCTGTGAACCTCATTGTTTGACAGATATTAGCACAATGTATGATAGGACCTCAGCAACTTTTAACGTCGTAACGGTGACTGATCCGAAGAGGTGCGCGGAGAATTTTAACCGACAATTTGTCGAGCAGCCCGAGAGCGAAGCGAAGAGTACTACGTCGTATAAGATCTCTTCCCGCCGATGAGTAACCACCACAGTTTAGGATGGGTGTTGTTGCAAATGTCATCCGGAACGCTAAGTCATCCAAAGGGTTGGGTACGGAAGGAATCTCAATGTAATGCTGAAACAGCTGGTTACGCGGGGAGTCGAATACTTAACGAAAGTTCTCAACCTGTCGCTAGCCACCCATATAGTGCCCGAAGCCTGGAAAATGGGCCAGGTGGTCTCGCTACTGAAGTCAGGCAAGGATTCCAGGCCGATTTCGCTTCAGTCGCCAGTAACTAAGACTCTTGAGGCTTTACTCCTCCCCAGCATTAGAGGAAGCTATCCAGTCGCCAACCATCAGCACGGATTACGTCCACAATATAGTACCACAGCAGCATTACACACGATTTCCACATATAATAGTAGAGGATTGAACCAGAACAAACTGTGTGACAGAACAGTGTTGGTAGCTCTTGACCTATCAAAGGCATTTGATACGGTCCATCATGCCATACTGTTTGAGGACGAGCAGAGAACCACCCTCCGGCCAAATTTGAAACGTTGTATAATCAACTATATGCGTGGACGCCAATCGTACGTGGAATTCCGGAACAAGAAGTCCAAAGCCAGTAGAGTAAAAAAGGGGTTTCCCGATGGTGGGGTGATATCATCAGAACTGCTTAACCTCTACCTTTCCGGGATTCCTCGCCCTCCAGACGACATAGGGATCGTAACGTATGCGGATGAGTGTACAATCATGGCGTCGGGCCCAGTGGTCGATGACATATGTAAAAGGCTGAAACCATATCTCGCGGAGCTTGCCGCATACTTCCATACGAGTAATATGAAAATATCTGCCACGAAATCACAGCTGAATGTGCAGGTTGAGGAGAATTTAATACCGACCACGGACTACCCCAAGATTCTAGGGGTCACATTCATCTGCGATGGTGTCTTAGCGAAGGAATTTGTTTTCAGAGAACGTACAAAAACCCCTAGATCTGTGAATATACCAAAAGTATCAAAAACTAAATGATGTCATATCTATTCTATATCGAAATGTAAGAGGTCTCAACACTAAATTGAGTTATGTTTTCTTAAAAGTTTCTACTGTGAACATAAAATAATTGTTTTTACTGAAACTTGGCTCAAACCAGATATTCTTGATACAGAAATATTTCCGGATTATTATCTAATTTTTCAGAAAGGATAGATTGAATAAAAAGGTGGTGGGATTGTGGTTGCAGTCCACCACTCGATTCCTTCGGAAACTGTCGATTTTGTTGTCGACCCAAGTAATGAATTTGTTTATGCAAAGTTAATATTCTTTGGTAATCTATATATATAAATGTAAGTTGTGTTAGTTACTACGCTTATAACTTAAGAACCGCTGGATTAATTTTAACGATTCACACAAATTCGGAGTTGTCTACTCTCCGAAAAGGATAATATCCAAAAAAAAATCGCGTAAAAATGTGATATATTAACATTTTCATTTTGACTTTTCAAATGTACAATAGTAATGTTTTATTCTGCATGATTTTTTTCCATTTTTACTTACTTTTTTCTAATGTACATTTGTAGTGTTTTTTTATATTTTATTTTTGAATTCGAATATTTATACCAATTTATTTAATTGACTTGATTTCTTGAGAACTGAAATTGATGGCGGGTTACATGGAAGTGTAGTAGCGAATTATGTGGTGGCGAAACGGAATAGATGATATCGAAATAATTTAACGCGGTCACACCAAAGTTAAAGATAATTACTTTTTCTAAATCGCTGAAAAATCATGAAAAAGAGATCTCATTGCAAAAATCAAAAAAACATTTTCAATGGAATCGAATTTTAAAGTAATAGTACATTCTATTGACAAACTTTGTAAGGAAGGATCTTAAAACATTTGCTGTAAAAAATCAGCGAAAAAGTTGAAGACTTTTTCAATTTGTTATTCTTTGTTGTCAATTTTTTTTGTGAACAAAATAAAGAATAATTTTTCACTAAAAAAATTGAATAAGTGCGAAATAGGATGTTAACTGACATCTACCTTTCAACTCCAGGGCCTACATCGTGGGTTAGCTGGAAGATGCGAACACGTTTAAACAAACAAAAATGACCGAAAAAGCTTAATGGGGCTCATTTCAAAGCGTGACAATGATCCGTCCAATGAGAGCTCAAAATGCAAAATTCTTTGGGAGAATAATAAGTAATATACCAATATTGAAATAAAAGGTGCAAAATAGTAGAGCGAATGGGACTTTTAGTAAGAAAAGGTTTTATATCCTTCCAGAAATTCTTCCCAAACATTCAAAATACCTAAAATCACTTTTGCAGGTCTTTATATCGATCATAACTCATGGATAAGGGAACAACCCGATTTCATATTTATATAACCATCTATGATTTAAGTTATTTTTGGGGTCTTGGCCGGTCACTTTTTCATTTGTTGGCCCTTATTTGACATTTTTGTTTCTAAGGGGGTAGATAACCTCTTCGCATAAAATTTGAAATTCAGAGTAGGGCCCATATTGGTATTGACCACATTCATCAATTGATTTGGCTAAAAAATTTTATTTATGCCACCCTGGGGTAGGGAACCATCATACAGATAATTGCCACATAGGAATTTATTTAAGTAAAGTCCCCACATTTGAGTATCCCCA